TGGAATATCGGTGAAGGTGGTTGTGATTTTTGATATTGCATTAATGCATTTCATTGCGGTGCCAATCATCGATCTTGTGCAACTCTCTAGGTGATCCAAGAGACAACTCCGCGTAGAAAGGAATGGGCCGAAGAGACGAGCACCACCGAAATGTGGTCATCGTCTTCATCACGAGGCGGCTGGCATTCACCGTATGATACTGCTGTTACCGCAAGACCAGCAGCACCCTACAGCACGGTTTCTGTCTCCTCCATGGGCACACCGTCCGCAACGACGGCCAGAGCCGCCAAACAAGACCTTGTCGAGGAGAGAAAGACAACAGAATCGTGGACCACAACGAAGGTGCGTGGTGGTGAAGCGGTGGCACCAGTGATAGCCCCGCTTGTCGTTGAACGAGAGAAGATCGAGGAGCCGCGTCCAGCCTCGTCTTCAACGACCATAATCCGCGACCACGACTGGCGGGGTGGTGTGGAAATGACCGAAACATGGGACAGTACAAGTGCACGTCGTGTCGGTTCCTATTCGACTGCATCCACGCTTGAGAAAACACGAGAATTGGACGATGAGGTGAATAATACTGAATAATGTGAATATCATCAATTCTATCGAATGTTACTCTCTTTCAACATTATTGCCACACAAACAAGGCAATATCAATTTATCGTTTAAGTGATTTGAAAGTTTTGTTTGCGTAAGATTTTGGTGGAATGTTAAGAATTTTGGAAATTTCGACGACTGACTGGTTGACTGACTCATCATCGCTAGTGACATATGATTTGACAGCAAAACTATCACAGAGTTTTTTTCGTCGTCGTCGTCTCAAACAAATTCTAATGTCAATGCCAAAAGAACACAAAGTCGTCAGTATGTCTCTCGTTCATGATCAATTCTCAAAAATCCCTNCTACACATAAGCATCATGAATATATCACCGTTTTCTTGCAATAGCACTCAAACTTCAAATAATTTTTTGTGGCAAGAAGTTCACCAAAAGAATGAATGCACTCAAACCCAAAAAATTTATCACCACCGAAACACACAGTTTGTGCACTCGCAGATCATCGTTGATGTATTCTTTTTTTGAATTTCATATGCAACGATCTTGAAAACCCACAAAAGCTATCGCTCAGTCAGCAACAAATTTCTCCAAAAATTTAACGTTCAAGAAATCGAAGCAAACGGTACGAAAACACATTAGAGAATGTTTGGTATTATTGACTTCAGACGGCTGAAATTACATATTGCTAGATTAGTGATCTGTGCTCATGAACGAAATGAATGAACAAGTGCTCGTACTGTCTGAATGAATTCTCCGTGAATAGCAATAGACACTTTTCATTTCCTGAAACTTTTCTGAATTTTCTTTGAATAACTTTCTTTGATAGTTATAGCAATTGATTCTTTAACAGTTTCTATTGATCACTTCAAATGACATTGTGCATTACAAGATTGAGGCATCTCATTGAGCATATATCGCAAATTCTAGCCTCGACCACACGAAGATGGCACCAAGCCTGCAGCAACAACGTGGACTGTTGTCAGATCAACTCGTTACGATGAGGCCAAACAGGTTTTTCACGATGACATTTTGATCTGCATTGTACTTTTAATCTCTTGGACGGATCGAAGCTTAGACTTGCTGGATTTGCGATGGAGTCCATTAACGAGTTGATGAATTCAAGCGTAAACTCACTTCAGTGATCTAGAAATAATCCTCGATTAGAATCTCGTGCATTATTTCCTCTCGCCTGTGTCAACTATCTCATTTTCATGACTGAATTAAGCGGAGATTCTGCAAGGTAATTTTGGTTTGAGCTCTCCGANCATTTTATAGCCAGAACCTGCCAAAAAACCAGAAGAAAAGGATATCTCGTCAGGCTACAGTAGCCGTACTGAATCACGTACCTCAAGATGGGACACAGACCTGGTAAGTTATCAAAAATCTTTCATTCGGTTCCGTTTTCCATCTCATGTGCAACCTACGGAGATGACTTCACCAGTTACTTGATTCCTCCCTGAACTGACAAATATTATTCG